GGAGGGTTGTTCTTCATAAAACTTTCTAGACTATGAGTACCAACTTGTCCTGCTGGTTGTCTCTCTAACACTCCAACCATTCTTTCTAGCAATTCATTCAAAAGAGCATTACCACGTCCTCTACCTCTTCCTGCCATCACTTCCTGCAATCACAAATTCAATCAATCCCCTCTATATATGTGAAGTAAAACTAGATAAACTAAGAATTACTCCACATTACCAATTTCACATCACTACTTTCTGTCGAAAAAAACAATACAAGAGTACACAGACAAGCATATTAGGCCTTTCCCCAGGCCTATAGGAAAGAACTGCTCTGATACCACTAATTGTGACATCCTTAATACTAACATTCACTTTATTATGATTTATTAATTATTATTGGTTCCTCTTAATATTTGATTACCAATACACTCTTGTAGAAGTAAGGTACACAATAATTAGAACATACACTTAGTGATTAATATACATATCATTCATAAGTGTCAAGTATAACTAGATAGTAAATATACATAAAGTCATCCCAAAATACACCTAACAAGGATTCACAATACCAGAGCAAACAAACTAACTAGACAAACTAATTATACAACCCAACTAAAGAGGAGATATATTTTGTACGTCCACTAAAATGAAGTATCTCTTGTAGCACTGTAGTGGTGTCCGATCAAGTCTTCTAGTTAGTACTTGCAGTGATCGTATTTAAACTTTACTTGGAGATGATACCGGGGATGAGTTGTGTTCAACGTCACCTATGCAAACATTTCATAATAACAATACATGCACAGAAAGGGTAAGACAACTTTATATTCACTTAGAGCATGCAAATAACATTGGGTTAATTAGAAATTACATATACAAACATACTAGTAATCAACACACAAATGATATGATATTATGAATGCAATGTATTCACTAATCTTTTCTAGGACACATCCTAGTATGCAAGACCATGGGGATCCCAAAACCACTTTCTCTTTTCTTTTCTTTTTTCTTTTCGAGAAGGATCGGGAGTTTCACTGGAACCTCTCACCGCCTTGCGGTAGTATACTCATAATTACTTGTCCAGCTCAACTAATCATGAGAAACCCCGGGGCTTTAGTCGGGATAATCAAGCTTGGTAGTGAGAGTCTCATAGCTTAGGTAGCGAGCCTCGAGCCACATATGAGCTCGATCACACTCAATCATCCCCGAGGTTAGCATGGAGCCGACCCCGATTTTCCATATCTTCCTCATACACTCAATCTCCGACTCATGAATATGATGCATGACTTATCATAACTTCTTCACACTCTTTCAAATTTGTTTCACCTCATTATACTTAAATCACATCTTAACTTCTTCAAAATAATACTAGGTTATTTCTTAAGAAAAATCGACGAGTTTCCCTGTAAATCGGACATTCCCAAAATTTTTAACACCTGTAAAATTACCAAAAATAGCCCAGAACACTTCTACTTTTCACCAAACCATCCTTCCACCTCATCATATTCATCATCACTCAAAATCATAATTTTCTCAATTTTAATTTATTTTTCTTAAATAATAATAATAATTGCAAATAATTTCCTCAAAATTATTAAAAATTCATTTTCACTTACAATTACTTGTTTTCTCCTAGATCAAAATTATTCCAATACTTTTGAAAAATATTTATTAATTAAATAAAAATATAAAATTTCACTTCATAATTAAATTATAAAATTCAATTTAATATATAAAAAAAAATAGTTTTCTTTCTCACACCTTTCCTCCATTCCACCAAATTATACAATGCAATTCTATATGCTTATCCATCTTAACAAAAACATTGCACAATAATTTTCTACTTATCATGCTTCATAACATACATACAATATATCTCAATAATCAATTTAAAGTAATTATCAGAATACTAAACATAGAAATAGGCTAATTCTCAATCTAAATTAATCAATAAATCATATAAAATTACTAATGATTAAGCAATCGATTCAAACAACATTCATGGATGTCTTATAATCATACAAGGTTCCATACATTCAAGTTGCTCCATTTAGAAGCCATAAATTTCACATAATCTTAAAACTTTAAAAATTCATCAAAAATAGAAATGACATTCAAATAATTCCAAATAAATTTCTAATTAACTTAGAAGTAAGGGACTTCTTCTCAATGCTATTTCAAGCAAAAATGAATTATAAAAGTTATCCTACCCCTTACCTTATGTTGTAACTTGGTGAAGAGTAACTCTTGATCAAATAATCTATCAAGTCTTTGGGTCTCCTCTTTGCACCTCTAAGTAGTCTCCTACATGCCAATTAAATACCCCAATTAAATCCTTAATTCCAACCATATTAGACCTCTAAAATTTCACCTCCTTCATAGCCTAAAATTCTAAAATTCAAGACTATGGTTCTTTGAGTTATAAAATCATTTCTAGGGCCTAAATTGATGCTAATGGAATTAATACAAGTAGAAGAGAGTAATGGAAGTAATACACTTAGAGTAGGAAGAATCCTAATAACAAATATGGACAAGGTTCAGTATTTCAGAATTTTCTAGAGTTATATAAGTTGTTTTGGCATGAGGTCAGAGCCAAAATTTCAATAACTTAATTAACTACAATATTGATGAAGGAAATAAATTCAAATACCCTATAGAATAAATGCAGTTTTTCAGTTTACATTGGTTGTTTCCAACATGGCTCAACTACAATAACACTCTGAACATGCCTTGGTAATTTGACCATAACTCATGCTACACATAAGCTATTGACATGAAACAAATTTCTAAATTTCGGAAATATAATTTTCTACAACTTTTATGAAGGAATCAAGTCCTAATTTCACACGTATCAATCCCAGTAATTCAAAAACCGAGGCTGTTGAAACAGGGCAACCTCTTAACTTCACAGCTATAGCACTTGACAGTAAAATGAACATAACTTGAGCTACAAATATCCGTTTGATGTGAAACAAGTTTCTAAATTTCTATAACTTAAAGGGCTACAACTTTTATGAAGATACTAATTCCTAATTCTGTTCACAAACGTCCCAAAATTCAATGAACAGTGACTTACGAATTATGGTGCTTAAGGTTTTTAGCTTAATCACTTCTAATCCTCAATTCTAAGTATTATTCTAGTGTCTTAGGTGTAAAACCTACAATAACACTCTTTCTACTCCCATTCAAGATTAACCAAGTGAGGAAAATTTTTGAAAATGCACCGTTTTGAAAAATAAAACCGTAGAAATGTAGAGAAGATTGAGATAAATCAACTTACCTCTTGGAGTTTCTCAAGAAAATCAATATTTCCCCCTCAAAATCAAACTTCAAAGTGAGGAGGGTTTGAGAGAAAGCGAGAAATGAGAGAAAGGAAGAAGTTACCGGAGTTGCAGAGTGAATCTCTTTTTGAAAGTCAAAATCTTATTTTTTATATATATTATTATTTTATTATTATTATTATTATTATTTTCAGAAAATTTCTAAAAATCACAAATAATCTAACCATCATAAAACCCTATAGTCACTTTCCCCAATTCTTAATAATTTAATTAATAAAATTTTTGATAAAAGTTGTAGAGATGCTGAGAATTAGGATGTTACATAAACCATACCAAATAACATGAGCTAGGACGATGTGAGACTTCTAACACGTCCCTCCAACGAAGTTTGCTTGACTCAGACAAATGGTACTTTCGACCAGTAACTAAAAGATAATTCTTGGTCCAACATAATAATTCCAACTAGAAAATTTACCCATATATATATATATATATATATATATATATATATATATATATATATATATATATATATATAATAAAATGACTGTTTGTAAACATTTCATAATTATTATAATTATATATTAAAAATAAAATAATTATTTCAATGACATTTTTGCTGGAAAAAAAACCAGTATGTTATGCCGTGACATATATCCCATGTGACAAAACATTTTTTATATAATAGACAATATATTGATTGATGTATTTTCTTATTTTGATAGGGCAACTATTTTCTTGTTATTTATTTCTATTAGGAAAAATGTTGACATTTGATTGAAGAAACCCACAGTTCATCAATTATTAAATCAATATCCTGGAATAAGTTGTTTCAAAATAATAGTATTTTTTTAATAAAAAACTAAAAATAACATTTATGTTAATTAGTTCGGTGGTAGAATTCGTTATTTGAACTGAACAACGAAGGAAAGCAAGTAAAATAAAATAATATTTTTAGATGCCACTTTTATATTTTTCTTTAAATTCAAAGAAAATAGTATACATCATTATTTGTTTGTTATTTTCATTAATTCTCCTGAAGAAAATATTATCAACAAGAAAAATCAACTTAAAAAAAGGTTATGGATAAATTTTTAATAATATGGTCAGCTCAACGTTAAAGGTCAATATTAAAAAAAATGATTTATTGTTTATCAGTGAAATTTATATAAAAAATAATTTTTAAGAAAAGATGGACAAAATAAAAAAAGGTTTATTATACAGATACGATACTAATTAATCTTAAAAATATTTTAAAATACAATTTGTATTAGTTTTTACATATTTATTATATAAGTTTATTATCTATTTATAAATTTATAGATAATTTTTTAATTTTTTAATTTTAAAATTGTTTATCTTCTATTTTCAAATATTTTTAAAATGCTCTAGTTATTACCGTTCAAAGTTCTTAATTCTAATTAGATTTATGACTTTGTTTTTTAGATTTTTTAGAATTTACATCCACTTTCGATAGTAGACCTCAACACAACTCATAATTTAAATCCTAAATTCAAATGTTAATGAGTAAACCTGTTCCATTTTATAAGTTTTATTGCTCCAAGTGCTGGTCTTTCACAGTACACTAAATTTTTTTCTCTATCCTGTGTATGTTGCTATTCTCTGTTCTTTGCTATTAAACTTATTCAGACATTCGGTTCCATTGCCATTTTTCCCTGTAATTAGTTGCTCCAATATATCCATTATAACATAAGCTCGTTCCATTTATGTGTTCTATAGCTCCACGATTTCGTCTACACTAGCAGAAGAAATAGATAGATTGAGTGCATCAGAACCATCACTAAATCTATGTCGTTCCCCCCATATATCGATCATCATGTTATAAACTTCAAGCATCGTTGGCCTTTCATCTGCGAAAGGCTGAACACACTTGCATGCAACTTTGATGAGAGTGCAGACTTCGTTTTCAAAACCTTCCCCTACCAGAGATTCATCAATTGCGTTAAAAATGTTTGAAGGGTTTCCAGATAGGTTAGTAATATTGAACGAACACGACAACGCCTTCAATGTTTTCCCTGTGAGTAGCTCAAAGAGCAAACTACCAAAGTCATGGACATCCTTCTTTCCATCACTCACGTAAAACATTGTGCTTGCACCGTCCTCAATGTTGGGATTCAAAAACTTGGCCTTTCCAAAGTTGGATAGTTTTGGTTCAAAATTCTGGTCTAGCAAGACACACTCCGAACTTATATTGAGATGCACCACATGCAAACTGCATACATGATGGAGCCATGATAAGCCTCTTGCTACTCCAAGTGCTATTTTGATCCTCTGAGGCCATTTCAATGTAACTTCACTTTCTAAAGGATGCAACCATTTTGAAAGCCTTCCATTTGACATGAATTGGTATACCAAAATCCTTTCATTTTTTTCGACACAGAACCCAAGTAGGGGAACTATATTTCTGTGTCTGTACTTACCCAGAATTCTTATTTCCAAAAGAAACTGTCTCTTGTATTGTTTGGAATCGAATAGTCTCTTAATGGCAAGGTTCCAACCATTGGGGAGCCTGCCCTCGTACATTATTCCAATCTTCCCCATCCCAATGGCATTGTCTATAGAAAAGCACTCAGTTGCATCTCTGACTTCGTTGAACTTCATTGTAGACTTCATTCTCTCGGTTACTACATAAATCTGTTGATCCAAGCATAACTACATTAAGCATTGGTAAAACTTGATTATAATGCATTAGTAGTACATGGGCATTTAACTAGTTACTCCTTATTATTTCTTTTCTGTTCAAACTTCATAACGTAATCTTATCTCTCTGATATTCAAAGTTGATGCAAATTCTAAAAATTTTGTAAAATAAAATCCTAAATTTCATATGAATAATATCTAAATTTATTAAAATATTCTAAAAATATTTAAAATAGATGATAGATATTTCTAAAATTAAAAAAATCTAAAATTATTTAAAAAATTGTAGATTAATATGGAGGTGGTAGATCAAACTTATAAATAGGTAATATCACTTATGTAATAAGTGTGAAAAACTAATACAAACTCTTACATATTTCCAAGTTCTTCAATACCTTTCCGACCGTCTCACTACTAAACCACAAATCAATCTTTTATATTCTTCATAAAATACTTATTAGGCATAGATACAATATCCAACCACCTTAAAAAATGTCTACTATATTTCATATCAATCTCAACCAATGATTAATACTAATCCTTCTTCATCTATTTTTATATCTATCTTCATGGAAGAAAATTATGATTTTTTTAGCATTAAAATTATGACTTTTTGCTCTCAATAGCTGATAGAAGATGACTTCATTACTTCAACATACATTTCCACATTAATAGCGACTAAAAATGAGTTAAATGAGAACAAACAAAAGGAATCAAGGACATTATATTTCCTACAAAAAGTTGTAGTTGATGCAATCTTTACAAGGATAATGGATGTCATAAGTGTCAAAGAAACATGAAGCACACTATAGGAGTTTCAAGAAAATGTAAAAGTACGCATCATTAAACTTCAAACTCTAAGATGTGAGTTTGAGTTATTAAGTATGAAGGATTTTGAGACCATAAAAGATTATTACACTAGAATTAAAGTCAAATGAGAGCATATGGGAAATTTTTGACAAAAAACTTATTGAGAAAATGTTAATTTTTATTCCCCACAAGTATGATGCAATTGTGATAATAATTGAACCAATATAATATCTTTCTAACTTATTAGTGATGAAACTAATAGACTCTCTTAAAGCTCAAATTAAATTCTTAGAATAAAAAAATTGGAAGAAAGAAAATTAAAGAGATTTCTAGAAATAAAGGAAAACCCTAGAAGTTTCTCTAAATCTAGTCAAGGCAAATATCTTCCTTGTGGCATATGCAAAAAGTCCAGTCACCTAGAGAAAGATTGTTGGCATCACGGGAAAATCACAATGTGAGCCAGAATTGCAAGAAGTTTAGACATGTGGAGAACAATTGTCCAATAAAATCAAGCATTAAGAAAAATTGGCTGAAGAACATGACCTTCATCAACATCTTTTTTATGCTACCCTTGACTCCAGTGATGAAACAATCGAAAGTTGATACTCGGATATTCGATGAGTAATCACATGGCCAAATACGAAAACATTTTCAGAGACATTGATGACTCTGTCAAAGTGAAAGTACAATTAACAAATGACACGCTAAAAGGAAAAAAAATATCATTACAATGAAGACAAAAAAAGGTATGAGATCTATTAAAGATGTCTTGCTCGTTTCCAATCTTAGAGAAAATTTCTTCAGGATTGGTCAAATGATAGAGAAAGACTATGTTCTTCACTTCAAAGGAGATACATGTAAAATATAATATAATAAAATATGAAACATAAGAGAACTTAAAATGGAGAAAAGAAATAAAAGCTTTTCTATGAGCTTCAAATATATTATTAATATTGTAATGAAAGTTCGAGTTGATGATTCATGGCTTTGACATTGAATATTTGGTTCAACACCTAAACTTTAAAATTATTATTAGAAGAATATGATGAGAGGTTTGATGTATGTCATTTTACTCTTTATTTATTGATTTAAGAATATTTTCTAACCTAATTGTTCTCTTCATAAACCATGCGTTTAATATTTTTTCATAAAAAATAGAGCATATTTCAATTTTACTAATTTGTTGCATTTTGCATAGTTTTAGCATTAAAACAAACATTCATAATATTTTTTTTGTAGGCGAAAGATAATTTGAGATGAGTCAAATTGATGAAAATAAAACTCAAATTCCTAACAAGAATCATGTGCAGCCGAGCGTCACTCTTCTCGAAAGTTCAAGTTTGTTTGTACAGCCCACTTGCACATGTGTGTTACTGTTGCAGGAATAAACTTGAGTTAAATTAAAGGTTGCGAAAATCAAAGAATTAAATGTAAATCAGCGTTGACCTTACAAATTAGGAAAGAAGTGAATTTTTTCCAATAAATTCCAGAAATTTCTCGTCGTCAATAATAATTTAGTGTTGCAATTTTTGATTGATAAAATATTTGATTTTAATTTAATTTATTTCAGGCTTATTTTATTTATCAAACCCTTATAAATAAAAGTCTAATAAGAGCAGAAAAACACAATCTTCTATTTTGAGGTGAGAGCTATTGTTTTGTCTTATTCTTATTTTCTTCAACTCGTTTTCAATCCTAGTTTAATTTTGTTTAGTTTGTAGTTTAGCGAGCTTAGTTAGATCAACTGCAACTCTTTTCAATTTGTTGTCTTTTGTTATTTAATTTACAAGCTCTCTTGAATTTTCAAGTTTTATATTGTTGAATTTAGTTTATTCATTTTGTGCTCAATTTAATTTTTTTTATTTAATAGTTTAGAATTTTTATTTTATCCCAGTATTCAATTTACCTTATTTTCGATTTCAATTTATCAAATGTCCAATTCCAATTTTATTTTACTATTTTCGATTCCAATTTCCAAGTTAAATTTAGTTTTATCTATTTCTGAAATTTTAATTTAATTACTATATTATTTTATTTTAAAACAAATTTTTATTTTTCACTTTATTCCGACAATTTTCAAATTTAATTAAAAGCATTTAGTTTTTTTTATAATTTGTAGTTATTTAAATTTTCATTATTGTGCTTCAATTTAATTTAATTTTTTGTTATTTTACTGTAATTTATTTTTCACTCTTTAGTTTTATTATTGTCAACCCTCTTATTTAATAGTTTTTTTACTACTTGTAGAGAGAATGATATGGTGTAATGAGTATGTGTTTTATAATTTTGTCCTTGTTTGATACAAGTTAACTATATTTCATTAGTTTAGTAACATGTTAATTATTGTTATCAGCATTTTGTGCGACTAGAATATTGTCGTCAAGTTTCTCATACTTGAAAGAGAACTATGAAACCTGTTAAAGATGTCTTCTTGAGAAAACATATTACCATTTTCAACAGACAAAGTATAAAGAACAAAAGACTTGTTGAACTTAATTCACACAGACATATGTGTACTGATGAGGACAACATCACTTGGACAACAATAGGTATTTTATCTTTTTCATATATGACTTTTGTAGAATAAGATGAATTTACTTCATCAAAGAAAAATAATTTTTTTAGGATATTTAGAAGTTTAAAGCTCTTATCGAGAAACAAAGTGGAATATTTATTAAAGTTTTAAGAAGTGATTGAGGCAATGAATATGATTCACACAAGTTTGACAAGTTTTGTGAATACGAAAGAATAGAAAGACAACTAACAGTTACATATACACCACAATAGAATGGTGTATCAAAAAAGAAGAATTGCATAATGATGGAGATGATATGATCAATGTTGAATGATGTATGTCATTTTATTCTTTATTTCTTTATCTAAGAGTATTCTTAAAGCTAATTATTTTCTTTATAAACCATGCATTTAACATGTTTTTATTAAAAACATAGTATAATTCAATTTTTCTTAATTTTGTTATATTTTGCATAGTCTTAGCATAAAAAAATATATAAAAACATCTAAAATGCATATTCCTTTTTTTTTTATTGGAGAAAGTTAATTTGAGATAAGCCAAATTGATGAAAAGGAAGGTCCAAATTGATGTAGTCAAACTTCACTCTTATTAGAAACCACCAAAGTGTGCTTGTGCAACTCACTTATGAAACGTTACAAATGAAAAATTTGAATCAAACAAATTAACTTTTGTGGAAATCTAATTTAGTTGAATTAAAGGCCAGTAAAAATAGAATTAAATGCAAATCAGCATTGGATGACTCAAAATAATAAAGAAACAAATTATTTCCTCCAAATCAGTCCCAACAATTTCTCGTCACAACAATTCAGTTTTGCAATTTTCAATCTGGAAACTATTTGATTTTAGTGTAATTAATTTTATACTTAATTTCTTTTGTTTAGTCCCTTATAAATAGAGCATGTTCAAAGCTACAAAGGACAATCTCCTTCTCTAAGGTGAAAACTGTTGTTTTGTCTCGTTCTCATTTTCTTCAATTCTATTTTCATTCGCATTTTTCTTTAGTTTAATTTTTAGTTTGGCGAGCTTAGTTGGATCTATTGTAACTTTTTTTTCAGCTTGTTGTCTTTTGTGATTTAATTTGCAATCTCTCTCGAATTTTTTCAGTTTTATATTGTTGAATTTGCTTTAATCATTATGCACTCAATTTAATTTTTGTTATTTAATTGTTTAGAATTTTATTTTATTGCAGTATTCAATTTACCTCATTTTTGTTTTCAATTTGACAATTGTTCGATTCCAATTTTATTTTACTCTTTTCTATTCCAATTTGCAACTTAAATTTAGTTTTATCCCTTTCAGTAATTTTAAATTTAATTACTGCATTTTTTATTTAATTAAAAGCAATGTTTTATTATACACTTTATTTTAGAAAGTTTTGAATTTAATTAAAAGCACTGAGTTTTATTTTTATAAATTCTAGTAATTTAAATTTTCATTATTCTGCTTCAATTTATTTTTAATTTTTTGTTATTTTGCTTCAATTTATTTTTCACTCTTTCATTTGATTATCATTAACATCTCATTTATTATTATTTACTTGTTTTTAAAGAAAATGATGTGTGGTAATGAACATGTTCTTATAATTGTGTCCTTATGAGATTCGATATGGGTGAGT